AGAAGAGGAGGCTGAGGGGAGACCTCGTTGCCTTCTACAACTACCTGAAAGGAGGGTGTAGAGAGGGGGGTGTTGGCCTCTTCTCCCAAGGGAATAACGACAGGACCAGAGGAAATGGTCTGAAGTTGTGGCAGGGGAGGTTTAGATTGGATATTGGGAAGAATGACTTTACTGAGAGAGTGGTCAGGCACTGGAACAGCCTGTCCAGGGAGGTGGTGGAGTCACCATCCCTGGAGGTATTTAGGAAACGTGTAGATGTGGCACTTCTACATGCTCTGGTGGCTGAGATTGTCGGGGTCTTTTGTGTGTGTGTGGTTGGACTCGGTGATCTCAGAGGTCCTTTCCAACCATGAAGATTCTGTGATTGCCAGGCTTCATAGATGTGCACCAGGGGCCTGGTTGGAACCCGGGCAGGCTGGGCATGCTCTTGTCTGCCGTAAAACCCTAGGTCGTCGTCACTGTAGGACTGAATCAGATCACACTTTGCAGTGGGATGTTGACTACAAGGGCTGAAGCACGGTGGTTTCCCTGGCACGTTGCTGGCTGCTGGAGGAAGCCGCCCGGCATCTAGCGCCGCGGCGCCTGGACGGGCAAAGCCACTCGTGCCTGGGGAAAGGCTGGGGTTTGCTTTGGCAGCCGGTGCCGAGATGAGGAGCGATCTGCTGGTGAGAACCAAGAGGTGTCGGTGGGAGAGGGCGTTGTGAAAGCGCTGACGAAGAGGTGCAGGAATCCCAGGGAACGCGTGGCCCGGCGGAGCAGTCGCCCAGGCGGCGCGGCCTTTCCCTCGCTCTTGCGTAAGAGGATGGAGATGGAAGGCGACAAAGAGCTTGGCTGTGATGGGTCCTGTTCTGGTGTTAATTACCACTGGCTGCATGGCTTTTGATAGAATTACAGGAGCGTGAAACAGGCCGGCAATTAAGCCTGATTTTGATCTTAGCAGCTTCAGACAATATAAATGCAAATGTCGCTCGAGACCAGTTCCAGTATTTTTTAAGTGTTGCTCAAAAAGGAAAAGAGCAGAGTAGTCAGTGGTGGGTCAGAACAAGAGGACGTGACCCACTTTCATTTCAAAACCAAAAACACCGGCCACAGAGGTCTTACCTACACAAACTTAAGTTTTGCCTGCGTTTTTCCTTCGTGCTAAATCAGGCTGCTGCGGGATCCTCACCTTTGTTTGGGGAGGAAAACTCATTCCAAAATATCATGCACCTGATGCTTATTTGCAGCTAAGTCCCTTTGCACTCTCTCAGCAGGGGGAAAGTACAGCTCTTTCCACTGGGATCTACGTATTGCCAAGCAAAGCACGCTCGGTAGGAATGGCACATCCTTTACTATGAATGCCGTAGCCGAGGGCAGCCTTTGTCACCCGTACTCAGCCGCTGAGTTATTAAGAGCTTCGGACTGTGTTACACAGAGAAAAAGATAAAAATAGGGCGTCTGACGCATGCATCCCGTGTCGCACGCCAGGAAACAGAATCGTTATACCACCGAGTACAGTATTCCAGAGCATGCATGGAAAATATGCATGGATGTGAACGCGTGAGATCTTTCCTAACCAAGAAAAATACTCAGTCCCCCCTTTTCCTCCTTCCCATTTTACATCTGTCTTAGTCGATATTCCGTCTACCTGTTGACAAATCTAACAGCCCTGAGCGCCACAGCTCTGCCTTTACTGCCACCGTCGGCCTTTCCCCCTTGTCCTGCTGAGCGATGCGACAGCATTCCTATGCCATCTTATATTTTCCTTTATTATAACACTTCCTATATTTTAAGGGAGCTGCAGAATATTCTTAATGCACCCAGCCGAGAGTAAGCAAAATCTTGCCCGTTCTCCGGACGCCTGCAGTGTGCCCAAAACTCCCAAAGCTCAACGTTGCCTGTCACAGAAACTGCGCGCCGGGCGTATAATCTAAAATTAGTCATCATTATGTGCCCCTTTAAATGTTAATCCCCTCGTCGTTTTCTTTTATTGCCTCTGTTGGCATAGGCGATTATGTGACATAATATACAAGTAAATAATGTGATGCAATGGGTAAAACTCAAACGGGATATACGTAGCGGAGATCGGATGCCTCCTACCGCAGAATAAAAAAGAAAACTTAAGAGTGAATCGAGAGTGAGGATTTTGCCTGTTTTGAGGGCAGCAAAATCAATCATACAGGTATTACGTTAGTCTTTCAGCTCTCGAAAACTCATGTTTGATCAGTGCTGTAGCCACTGCTTGTCTTCAGGTGCAGAAATAGGACTCAGGGAGTAAGTAACTGTGGGTAATGGATCCAAAGCAGAGCCCCACAGGGCCATATAACAGGGTCTTTAAAAAAAACAAACAAAAATTTCAGTTTAAGGATCATGAGCCTTAAAAAACAGGGCAAAACATGCATCTGAGACCATATGATTTATTTTCCAGCATGTGAACCCTTCTAGGGGGAGAGCAGGTACGCAAAGCTGAGGACTTTGGGTGTTCAGTTGCCTCCTGGTAGGAAACCTGTGGGCAAAGCACAAGCTGAAACTCAGCAGTAGGTTACAAGATACGGCAGCGGCCGAGTTCAGATTTAAAGATAAAGCCTGAAACAGCAGAACCCAATGCAAGACCAACATTTTTCGACCCCTTTGCCTGAATTCAGCAAAACATATGGGTACCTCGGTGTGCGATTTTTTTGCTTTTGCTGAATCGAGGTTTGAGTTACTTGCTAGTCTATTTTTACCCTTTAGCAGCCTTGTAATTCAATACGTGTTTGTTTTAATTTTACACTCTCCATAAAAAGCACCGTCCATGACGAGCTGGAGAACTGACCGCTGGTAATGAGTAGAAATTTAATCAGCTGGCGTGTCACACTCTCTTACTTGCCCCCCCTTCCCCCCAAACCCGTGTGCTGCTCACCATCAGAAATACCCTGCGATACCCTCCATCTCCTCCGTCACCTCGGCTTTGCCGCTGAGGCTCTGGAGATGCCAAGGTGGGGTGAGATCAGCCCGGGATGGATCCAGGTCACTCTGCTGGTGGTAGCAGCAAACAGCCAGGGCTGAGAGGCAGGGGGGGACACGGCAGTGACGAGTAGGACAGTGGCTTCCTCATGGCCACTGGCTGCGGCCTGCATCTCCTGCCAGGGGGCTTCACGCCCTCTTTTTGCAGCCTGACGTTGGTGTCGCAGATTTTCCAAACCCCTGCTAATGAGTTTTCAGTTTGACAATGCTGATATGGAAGCTCCCCGTATCACATCATGTCACATCACAGCCCCCTGGTTCTGACCTGTCTTCTCGTGGTGTATCAGCAACGCAGAGCTGATAAAATATTGGAAGCCTGGAAATGAGCCTCCTTTTTCTGGGTCCTCCCTGCATCCATGTGCTTTAGGTAAGGATGGAAAAATTGCTGCACCAAATTAAAGCACTTCTGTTTTCCTCTTGGCTCTTCTGAGAGCTGCTTGGCTCTTTTTCACCCTAAAGTGTGGGGTGAAAAATTTGTAGGACGCACTATTAGTGATAGGTGATGTGTCCAGGCACAACGTCCTTCCTTGTTCATGCCTTGGTCTCTGTGGTGCTTTATTTAGCTTTGGACTTGCATGCACCATAAAGTAAAGATGTTGCTCCTCACCCAAATGATGATCGGTGGTCTAACTTTGATCAGATTTAGTGATGGTGGATAACTTGTGCCCAAACCCACCTGAACCATTCGCAGAGGAAACTAAACCCACAACAAAGCCAGCGGGGTTGCTCTGTGATGGCACATCTTCTGGGACAGCCCACCTTGCCCGTGCTCCTCTCTGCTATAGTTGCTGCATCCTCCCTTCCCTTGGGACGGGGCTTCGTGGCTAACTACAGCAAGATAACTATTTTTGTGAAACTCATGTCCCAATGTTGGAGTCACATGGAACCACAGAATGGTAGGGGTTGGAAGGGATCATCTAGTCCAGCCCCCATGCAGGTTCACCCAGAGCAGGTTGGACAGGAACATGTCTGGGCGGGTTTTGAACATCTCCAGAGACGGAGGCTCAACCACCTCTCTGGGCAACCTCTTCCAGGGCTCTGCCACCCTCAAAGTGAAGAAGTTTTTCCTCATATTGGGATGGAATTTCCTGTGTTCCAGTTCGTGCCTGTTGCCCCTTGTTCTGTTGCCGGGCACTACTGAAAAGAGTCTGGCCCCGTCCCCTTGACACCTGCCCTTTAGATATTTATAAGCATTGATGAGATCCCCTCTCAGTCTTCCCCAGGCCAAAAAGTGCTAAGTGGAGGTTGGAGCTGTCCCCAGACAGCTCCACCCGTGGTCTCCTTTGCTCCAACGTGAACCCAAGAGTAGCTTCTTCAGGAGATGGTGGGGATGAGGTCAGATTCTGCTCCTGCTCTGTCCCCAGCCTGCGGCAGAAATAACTCTCGGTGTCATCAGAGCGGTCACTGTAACGTGGATGAGGTTCAAGTCAGGCCCAGTAGCTTCAATGAGATTTTTGTGCGATTATAACAAGAATTTGACACACATGGTGAGCTGCTAGTCATGTATACGCGATCTGTCTCCAAGCTGTCCCAGGAGGTATTTACCAGCATAAAAATCAGTTAATGAGGGGACGTGTCCTGCTGCTGCACGAGGGATGACCCGGGAAGCTCAGGGAGGGATGAGCTCCGTCCTTCCCACTTGGAAACTCCGTCAGTTTTTGCCAACCTCGGCACTGGGAGGGAACATTGACTTCATTGTGGTCTCTTCTGCTGCACGCCACAGCAGAAGTTACGCAGAGTTCTCTGCGGACGTAGCAGGAGTGCTCAAAAGCTCACCCCATCTACAGTGCCTCAGGTCCTTTAGGATAATGAGGCATTTTCTGAATGCACCTTTTTATTGTACCAATATTACGTTACAGGAAAAATGGAAAGGGGGCGAGGGGGGGGAACTTAACACATAGCACCTGTCACAAAGTTCTCTCCTTGAATTAGGCTCTCCCGCTTATAAAAATTTAATTGATTCCTAGCAGTTTATGTGCGTGGTGCTCAGTGGGCGTTTTCTGTTCTCTTGCCAGCTACATGGTTACTTAGAAAGCGAGCCGCTCACGCTACAGCTGTTCATTGGGACTGCAGACGACCGCCTGCTGCGACCCCATGCTTTCTACCAGGTCCACCGAATCACCGGGAAGACCGTTTCCACCACCAGCCACGAAACAATACTTTCCAACACCAAAGTCCTGGAAATCCCACTTCTTCCAGAGAACAACATGAGAGCAATGTAAGACCCAGGCGCCCCGTCTCGCTCCTAGAAGTTTCCTCAGGGTCACCCCACTTTATTTCTTCTCTCTTATTGATTTTTTTTCTGCACACAATTTTCCTTTTCCTACTTTTTTTAAATTCTCTCTGTATTAGTAGTTTTCACAACTTTGCCGCGACAAATTGCCCCTAATCAGCTTAACAACAAAATGAACTTCACAAATATTTATGACAACTGATTGCTTTCATTCTAGAGTTTCAGCCAACGTGCTTATTTGCCATTTAAAATAAGTATCTCGGTTACCAAGCTGTAAATATCTCCTACCTCAGCTCCTGCATTTAGTTTCTAAATATGACACCTCTTGCTCCTATACGCACTAGCGCAAGGAACAGGGCCTATTAAAATTTATCTTTGGATGTCAAAGGAAACTCTTAGAGAGCACTTCCAAGTACCCTGGTATATTTTTGAGACAAATGAAACCACTCTTATTTCTTACATAATAAAAATCTGCATTTTTCATGGCATTTGTTTAGAAGCAAAGCTTCTAGCACTAAGAAGAGGAGTAAAAGCAATACAACTTACAGATTAGAGTTATTAAAGTGGGGTAGGTTTAGACCTATGCAGAAAAGCAAGCATGGATGTCTAAGGATCTCTGAATTAGTAGGAGTCTGAGCGATAATTAAGAGCCCCATAGGTCCATTACACGCAGGTAAATTTCATTATAGGATTATATATAAAGGGTCAAATATTCTTCGGTGTATGTGACATACATAAGATGCTCTGCATTATTTAATCCTGTCCTCTCTGCCCCCCTCATTCAAATGATGCTAACCCTTATCTGAGGTGTCTGCCTTGGGAGGAATTTGTGTGTGTTTGCGTGCATATTCATCCCTTGGTGTGTATATAAACGTGAATGTATTCATCTATGTATATAGATGCATGCATCTTTGTCTGTGTGTACACAGAGACAGAAAGATAAGTAGGTAGATGGACAGAAAGCGAGAAATCCTGGCCCCACCAAACCGCACACCATGGCAAAATCCCAGGGAGCTTACAAAAATCACTCCTTGTTATTCGTACAGTTTTCCGTGCCTTAATGAAGCGAAGAATGGTAGCAGACACCTGAAGTCCTTCCGCAGGTAGTCTTTATTAGAAGCTGGTTTGCAGTGTCATGTACGACATGCCCCGGAGTGGCTCATGTAAATAGAAGAGCTAGAATGTGTGTTAACTGCGTCGCCAGCCGGGCTTAGGGCGATGGCTCAGGACCCGAGGACTTCTGTCACTGCTTTGTACTAAAAGTCGTGACGAGCCTGTAAAATTACTGGCCCCATTTGCTGTCACTGTAAGCTGGCACGATGCCATCGAGGTTATTGAAATCTCACCAGTTTGTGCCCACGTGATATTTATTTGACCCTTTATTTACCCATTTCGAATAACGATTCTGGCCCTCTAGGAATGTTCTTACTGTTCCACTCGTCTTTCTCCCTGGAATAAAGGTAGTTGCACAGTTTGGGAGCCAAGCTGAATATTTTCGCGACGTGTGTGCCAGATCGTAGTAGAGAGCTCTCAAGAACCACAAACAATGCTTTGGCATATGCAAGCCTTACACGTCAGTAGCCTGAAACCTCATGTAGCACTAACAATGAGTAGAAATTTGGAGCCAAAAGGACTTCTCTCACACATACTTTGTGTATTCAGGCCTTGATTCAGTGAAACACTGGAGCTCATCTGCACCTTTAAACTTGTGCACATTTAGCTACTGCTGTTGACTTCAGATTTTAATGTCCATGACTTTACAAGCCTGAATTTAAATGCTTTTCTTTCCCTCTGAACTAACTGTCATTAAGAACTTTATATTTATTTTAGAAGTCTTCCTGTAGGAGAGACAATATTGAGAATCACACTGTTTCTTCTGTATCTTTGTGTAGAATTTTGACATGGATTCAAATATTTCATAATTCTTACGACTTCATCTGCTAATATGCATTGCTGAGAAGCTTTAATACTTTCATTAGTTTCTTTGATCATATCAGCAAGAGCCTTTTTGTTATTCTGAAACCCATACTTCAGAAAAAAAACGTGCTTGCCATAGTTCTTGTTTGCAGTTTGCTTCAGAACAGAGCTTCAAAGATCTGGAGGGGGAATTAAACTCTTTGAATGCAAAATAAAATTAAACTATGCATATTCAGTGTAACAAAATGCGTGCCAGAGACCAATACCCAGAAGAAATTGCCATATAGGCTTTATAGTTGTGGCCAAAGCAGAGGTATTTTTGCAGTGAGTTTTCGAGTGCATGTGTTTATCTATTTTTTGTTCCGGGAACTTCTATACTGAATTTGCTTTCACAAAAATCCTGACATGTAAATTCATCCAGGATAAAACCAAAGTTTAAAAAAAAAAAAGGAGAGATCGATTGGAAATAGCAATAGTTCTATCTGATGAAAAGCGTGTTTTCCCTTAAAGTAGAGGGAGGATTCTGAGTTTCGGTTTTTTCATGCAGAGCTTCAGCTCGACACTCAGCTTGGGAGTATTTCCAAGTCATTCAAATACAGACACAACTGACCTCAGGGACAGCTGTCCTCATTAATGAGCGTTTTTAGGACTTTACCCTAGAATAAAAAGAACATCAGATTTTTCTCCAAATCGGCTGTAACAAGTGAAATTGTAAGTGAGCTTGCATTCTGGGGCAGTGCGCCAAGCGTTACGAACATCTCATCCCATTGACTTTTCTAGTCTCCCTATTTCTTTGGGCTTTGGTCAATCTGCAAGCGCCATCCCTACAGGGATGTGTTGGAGAGGAAGGGTCTGTTAGATTTTTCTTCCTCTGGAAACTGAAGTGAAACCCTAAATTTGTGCGCTCAACAGCAGCTACTGCCTGTGATGACAGATAACCCCAACTTAGCTACTTGTGGACGCGATTACTGGGCTTAAAGTCTGCCGTGGTCGTGGGGTTGTGTCTGACTCAACTTTTTAAGAAGGATGTGCAGGAGAGAGGGAGGACGTTGCACGCTTGTGTCTTCCTGAAGTGTGCTCGAAATGAATTGAATTGCTCTGTTTGAATTGAATTGTCCTTTTGGACAGCATCGACTGTGCTGGGATATTAAAGCTCCGAAACTCGGACATCGAGCTGCGCAAGGGAGAGACGGACATCGGTCGGAAGAACACACGCGTGCGGCTGGTCTTCAGGGTCCACATCCCCCAGGCCAACGGCAGGACCCTCTCCTTGCAAGTCGCCTCCAACCCCATCGAGTGCTGTGAGTAGCAACAAACATCCTTCTCTTGCTGGGTATTGTGTCACCCCCCCACGCAGTCGTTGTCCACTGATGTGCTTATACATTGGTTTTGCTTTGCCTGTCTGGTCGGTGGATCTTAATCTGCTTTCCAAAAGCATGTGGTTTATACTGCAGACAAAATACCCGTGTCTTGGGAAAATATATGTACCTTTGTGCATTGATTTCTATAGGAAAGAAGGCACTTAAAACAAAAGGAGAGTGCACTTAAAGTAATAGTAGACCTGGGAGCAACGAGTCTTTTCTTCTTTTTCTTTGTGACTCCCTGTCGTACAGGTGACTGCTCTAGGAGTTGTGGGAGACAGTTATCATGTCCTATTCGCTCTCTCTGTCTCCCCTGAAATAGCCATGTCTTGGGGAAAAAAAAAATATGTACCTTTGTGCATTGATTTCTATAGGAAAGAAGGCACTTAAAACAAAAGGAGAGTGCACTTAAACTAATAGTAGACTTGGGAGCAACGAGCCTTTTCTTCTTTTTCTTTGTGACTCCCTGTCGTACAGGTGACTGCTCTAGGAGTTGTGGGGGACAGTTATCATGTCCTATTCGCTCTCTGTCTCCCCTTCATAAAGCACAAACCAGCAAACAAAACCCCAACCCCTTTGATGCGGAGCTGGCAGTGTGCTAGAGCTGACACGCTGGCAGAAGCTGCCTGCAGCTTCAGAAAACCTCCTGTAACCAGGTTTCCGCACTGGGGTCTCTTTGAACAGACTGCTTTTTATCAGATGCACCGGGGGCACCCTCTGAAGACACCTATATCATTCTTGCTCCGTAAGCCCTCGTCAGCCTCCCGCATACAAAACAAAACCTATTCGCTTCATGTAGCTGTAACGCTTCAGGAAAAGTGGTGGAAATTGAATTTCAGTCTAACTCCCATTGCCGATTTGGTCGGCTGGATTTGTGGAATCCACTTTTTTAAGGATTTGTTGGATTCCACAAAGTGGATTTTTCTGATGCTGAGGGAGTAACTTAACATCTGGAGGGTATGTGGGGGTTGTACTCTGGGAGTGGGGAGCAGAGGGGATGGGGAGGAAGGCTTGACCATCCTTGGCCCCATGCATGCTGGAGGGTCATGTTGGTGCTCGTCCCTGCATCCTTGCCAGTCTGGAGTCCCTCACAATGTGTCTGGCAGGTCCTGGATCAGCATGGGACACCATTTGATCTCTTCAGGGCATGGTGCTTTTCCAAGGATTGTTAACAGAGAGGCTGCAGGAAAGAGCATCCCTGCATTCCTCTTGCAAAAGCAGTGGCATTGGTGACAGACTTTCAGGCGAGCAGCAGGAGAGGCAGAAATTGTAGGAGAGGGTAGTGCTGTTAGACCAGTGGTGGTAGCTTCTCTCCTTCACAGTCGTTCATTTAAATTAAAAAAAAAATGAGCATTGGCATTGGGAAGGGAGTTACAGTAAGATAAGCCTATGTTATTCATGAAGAACAGCAGAGCCTCCTTACCTATAGCAAGGAGTCTGGCATAAAGCCCTGTCTTCTGTCCAGGATATGTATGAGATGAACAATTTCCCCTTTGTTTCTTATACAAGGGCAAGTTCTAGGCTAACAGGCAAAGCAAAAATCATGAGGAGTCATGGTTTTATCCTGGTCCTGTTGAAACTGATGAGAGCTTTTCAATTGCTGTGTAGCAGGGTAAGGCACAACTTAAATATATCCTGAACTGGTCTGTGCAAAGCTGCCAAGCTCAGGAAGCCACTTAAATATGGAGCTGGTTGGATTTGTATCAGTGAACTGCAGTTTTGAGGGTTGTGTAATGAGCAAAAGCGTGGTACGTGCCTCCTGAAAGGAGCGGAAAACAGGAGAAAAAAATAAGTGCCAGTGTTATTTCCAGTGCAGAACGTGGAATAAGCTGGTGCCAAAAACTTCATGCATCTCTTACTGCATGTGACACCAGGAGGAACCATGTCATCTGGATAAAATGTCACGTCATCCCTTGAAGCACAGCCACACTCGCTCCCTGTCCCAGTTGGGAGGGATAAAATATGTGCCACAAGAATACGGGATTCTGTTTGCATGGATCCACGTGTGCTTTGGCACTCAGGTGCTGGTGGAAATTACGCTCTCTAAACTGTGAACTTGTGCTGGATCGCGAGGCCCACGGCTGCTGCTGCTGCAAGACAGCTTGCAGAGTTGACAATACAGCCTTTAGGAACTGAAACACAGTTTGGACATGGATGGTCATCTCATCATGTGTGCCTTGTTAAACACACAGCATATATATCATAGATAACATAAGAGAAAATTATTTTAAACAAATAAATTTCAATAAAAATGTATAGTTTCAGATATAGTACAGATCAAGATTAGTTTTAAAACAGCTTCTTCTTTGTGAACCTTTTGAATCTGTACTCCTATGTTTGATAACCCTGTTGTTTATGATCAAGACACTTGAAAACCACCCATGTTTCCTGCAAACCTCCAGACCTTTATTTTGTTTCTATATCAAACTCAGTTTAGCTTATAAGGGTGAGCATTAAGTTACTTACTAATGCAGTATTTACTTATTTTTGTGTGTGTTTGTGGTTGCTTTTTTCTCTTTTTTAAATCTTTATAACTCTCCAGCTCAACGATCTGCCCAAGAACTGCCTCTGGTGGAGAAGCAAAGTACTGACAGCTTTCCTGTTATTGGAGGGAAAAAAATGATACTGACTGGCCATAACTTTCTGCAAGACTCCAAAGTCATCTTTGTGGAGAAAGCGCCAGGTATGTCTTTTCAATCTAGACTCTGGTCTGCCTTTTTTCCCCTGTTTTAAGATCTCTGCCAAATGATGAAAGTATAAATATGGTAATGACATTTTCTTCTGCGTGTAATATGTTTTCCATGTCACTGAGCAAAGCTGGGAAAGTGATCTGAGCCGTGCCTAATGCTGAGGTTTCACACTACGGCAGGTGTAGTTACAGGTAGACAATAGGGACATTGAAAGTTGAAGCTGGGCATTTGTTTTTGTAGCAAACCACGGCTGGTCCGGGTAGGACCTGTGAAAGGTGTTTGAAACCTCAGGTGGCATGTCCCCGTGAAACCTGCGAGGTGGTGCATCTTGTTCAACCTTTCTGTAATTTGTGGAAGAGGGATTGGTGTTGCTGGTGATGTGCATGTGTGTCTCCTTGTGTGGCAGTGGAGACTGGTGGCATTTACAGCGTGCTGGCTGGGGAGGACTTGCAGCCCCCATGCATTCATTCATTCAAAGGAGATAATGAGGAGAGGCTGAGGGAACTGGGGTTATTCAGCCTGGAGAAGAGGAGGCTGAGGGGAGACCTTATTGCTCTCTTAAACTACCTGAAAGGAGGGTGTAGAGAGGTGGGGATCGGTCTCTTTTCTCAAGTCACAGGCGAGAGGACAAGAGGAAATGGCCTCAAGTTGCACCAGGGTAGGTTCAGGCTGGATATTAGGAAAAATTTTTTCACGGAAAGGGTTATCAGCCATTGGAATGGGCTGCCCAGGGAGGTGGTTGAGGCACCATCCCTGGAGGTGTTCAAAAGACAGGTTGATGTAGTGCTGGGAGGTATGGTTTAGTGATGATGCTCCTTGTTTGTTGTGCGGGTGTCTATTTTTGTCAGTTAGGTTGACGGTTGGACGAGATGATCTTTAAGGTCCCTTCCAACCTAGAAGATTCTGTGATTCTGTGATACTTCTGATTTACCTTGAGGGCTGGGGAAGGACTGCTGTTGGCTCCCCTCCTTGCATGGTGTTGGTCCCATGGGTGGTGGGACTGGTCCTCCCAGGGAAGGGTCCCCAGCCATGCTGATGCAGGGGGGGGACCTGGGGTGGGAGCTGGGGCTGGAGCAGGAGGTGTCTGCAGGAGGGGTGGGTCACAGGGTGACAATGCGTAATATGCATGAATGCCCCCGTGGGAAAAGGGAGCTGTAAAGTCAGGCTCTGAAACAAGATCATTAAGGGTAGTTTTGAGTCTTGTTTTGGAAAGGGTTTCCGTGGTGCTGGCACAAGCTACAGATTCCTCAGCTGCCGGCTGAACCCACCCCCCTCGAACTTTAAACAGTCTTGGGCGCTCCTCAGGCTGCCAGCGATGGCTGTGATGCTGCACCCCTTTAACCCTCCATGTCCACGAGGTTCCTGCGCCATTCTCCTCCCCACAGCCTCTGAGGGTGGTGTGGGAAGCTGGGACAGTGGAAGGGATGGGAGAACGAGCAGGGGTAACTCTGAATGTGAAGACATCTGAGTAGATGTGAACTCATCAGGCTCAGGGGAAGAGCAGAAGACTTCCCTGAAGTTCCCTGGTGGAGTGCTGGGTTGGTGTGGCTTGAGTCACCAAAAGTGCACGTGGGGTGGAGGTAATGCCCTGGCTCCTCACTGAGAGCGGGTCAGCGCCCATCAGGCTGTGGCTGTGAAATGAGCAGAACACCCTTCTTGTTCCTTAGGAAAGTTTAAAAAATAAAAAAAAAGGCAAAAAAGGTGGTATTGCAATTCAAAGAAACCCAGAGCTTTGTGTAGCGTGACGGGAGGGAAGAACGTGTCTGTCTACTTCACATTTAAACTTCCTCCACTGCACAGAAGTGGGTTAGTGTGACATGTCAGGAGCGAAGCCCTTGATCTGTCTCGTTACAGGAAGGAAGCCACGTTAAAAGGTGCTCTCCTTCATAATTATTTTCCCTCCTCTTCCTTTATTGAGTTGGAAAAATTTTCACGTGTCCCATCCCAAAGGATTATGATGGTGATGCTACTCGCCCACCAGCAGGTACTACCATCTCCCTTAGCATTAAGTGCACCAAAAGCAGGATGTTGACTGTGTAGCCCCTTAAATTACAAAAATACAAAATGGGGCCAGCTTCATTCTTCTTAACTAGACAGCTGTCCCCCTTGGGCAAACGAAATTTGAGGCTGCACAAAGACAGCATATAGATAGAAAATAGTTTATAGAAGCGACATTTTTTAAAATAAAATTAAAAAAATTACCACTTTGTTTTAAATATTGTGAGAGATGAAGGAGCGTTCTGCTGCACACTGGCTGTGCTGATGAGGGAGAAAGTGATCAAAAGGCCTTGCTTGTCACACTGAAAAACTCCTGGGGTGAACTCCTTGGGTTTTGCAGATGGACAAGTGCAGGAGCATCTCTTTCTACATGAAAGCACCACCGGAGGATCCCCCTGTGCTCTTCTCCCTGGCATGGAGTGGGGGGGAAACTCCACCAGGCAGTGTGCTGCTATCGTTGAAGTGTAATCAAGATCATGAAGTCAGGATTGAAAGATCTGCTGGGAAACTGTCCTGCCCCTGGCTTTAGTAGTCTCACGGTGGATTTGTTGGGGTGGCAGGGCAGTACTGCCAGGTGGAGTTATGCTGCAGGGGCTGAGCCTTTGAAGCCGAGAAGCGTTGGGCGTCCCCAGAAGATGCAGTCGTGTCACTAGGGCCGGTCTCTTTTCTCAAGTCACAGGTGACAGGACAAGAGGAAATGGCCTCAAGTTGCACCAGGGTAGGTTCAGGCTGGATATTAGGAAAAATTTTTTCACTGAAAGGGTTATCAGGCATTGGAATGGGCTGCCCAGGGAGGTGGTTGAGGCACCATCCCTGGAGGTGTTCAAAAGACAGGTTGATGAAGTGCTGGGAGGTATGGTTTAGTGATGATGCTCCTTGTTTGTTGTGTGGGTGTCTATTTTTGTCAGTTAGGTTGACGGTTGGACAAGATGATCTTTAAGGTCCCTTCCAACCTAGAAGATTCTGTGATTCTGTGACACACAAAAAGCAAAGTTGCCAGGCTGATGAGGGCTGAGTGATTCCTAGGGCTTCTGCGAGGGGTTGTTTGTGGTGTTGCCCACCAGCTCGATGGGTCGGAAACCAGTGAGCGCGGTGCGTCGCTGTCTCGGTGGCCAAGGGCTGCGGCTCAGTTTTTGAGCAGAGTCCCCGTGTTTTGATGTCGAATGCACAAGCATTACCAGCCTTCCCTTCTGAAAACCAGCACCCGGTGTTTCTTTTCCCTTTCAGCTCTCGCACCTCGCATGAAAGTAGGTCAAGAGAGGGAACACCAGCGTAGTTTCTCTTTCTCTTAGAAAGCTGGTTATGAACTTTTGTGATTTAGCTGGAGACGTTCATTAGTTTTGCTGCTGTTACCACTTTTGTTTTTGAATTCAAAATGTTAATCACGTTCCTGGTGGGTAGCAGCCAAGTGCAGCTATTACAAAGTAATAGATCACAGGAATCGGCGCACTCATAAAGAGAACGTATCTTTTATAGAAAATTTAAATATTATACTCCATGAGCTCATGTCTTCTAGTCCTCACTCGGGCAGAGTCCCCAAGCCGGAAGGCAGTCTCTGGGAGCTCGTCTAATTCATGCTAGTCTGCATACTTAATTGGTTAACGCAAAGAGTTTGAGAACACTTTTTGTTTGCCTTTTTTTTTTTTCTTCCCCCCCACCCCCCCTCCTCTTCTGTCTGAATAATTTCTTTAAGTCTGCCCAGTGCATTGTGGTCCGCTGAATGTTTTTCCAAGTGTGAGTCCCAAGCTCTCCGTCTTCAGGGCTAGCCCTCAGCTGTTGTAGTCTCTGGAGGAATGGCATTATCCTGGCCTCCATGCGTGGGGAGTCTGTCTGAGCCGTGACTCATACAAGAGGGAATCCCTGAAGAATGATCAAATCAATCCTTCAGCTGGGGAGGCAGCGGCTGTAGTGCTTTCAGCTTTAACCCCTTACTGCCTGCTTTTTAGCCAAGAAGCCTATGAGAGAGAGCAAAATATGCTTTGCAGCCCTGTGGCACTGCGTCTCGGAGAGGAGGAGTGAGGCAGGGAGGGATGAAGGAGCGCTGGAAGGACGGAGGGAGGAGTGCTGTGAGGAGCTCCTCTGAAAGGAGAACCCCTCACGGTGTGGTCCAGCGCTCAGGCAGAAGGCACCCCTTTGGATGAATAATGAGTCTTTTCAGAAGTGGACTAAAATTTGCTCAAGCCTTTTACAGTACCGTAAAAAAAGTTCTGATGTGTTGAAACGAGTCCTTATTTTATGGGATTTTGGTCAATGTTTTATTGCTTGCACATCAGACCGTATTTTCCAGCGATGAACGATGGTATAAAATGACCGTCCAAGAAGCCAAGCGGTAGTAAAAATGTGAATGCTGAACGTGCCTTGAGAGGTTCACTCTTTTAAATTCAGAATTTCCTTAGACTGGGGAGTCCCTTGATGACTTTGTCTCTTGGAAATTACACTAATACTCGTTTATCTTATCTTCTTTCACTTTCTGTCTGTCTTTGTAGTCATGCTTTTCTCGAGTTTCAGAAGGGTCTTGTGAGTCTGGGTGTCCTGGTTGTTGGGCGCCAGGTTTAGGACGTCCAATAACAATCTGTTTTTCATCAGAATTAGTACTTCCTAAAATAGAAAAAAGCCTGCAACTTTTTACTGGCCAGGCCCTTGATGGTATTTGCTGTGGAGGCAAGGTGTGTGCTTTAGTTCCAACAGTGGGCGAAATGAAATTGATGTTTGTTAGCTGTGGGAGGAAGTGTTTGGCTAAGATGAACAAAATGTCTCCTGTCTAACACACGCATCTGCAAGAGCACAGATTGTGATCTGGAATTGTAACAAAAGACACTGATTTATTTACTTACTTTTTAAAAACTTTTTCTTTAATTTCTAGATTACAAATGTGCCAAGCAACAAAAATCTTGAGGGAAGTTCAGAAAACGCAGAGGTGTTTGGAGAATGTGTTTTAAGGACTGTATTTCTGTCGGCTACAACAAAGTTTGGCAACAACGTCTGCAAACACTGT